TAGGGAGCGAAGGAAAGAAAGATGATTGTATGGACTTGAATATGAGATGCTTTTACACGCGTCGAGCGTAATTGATTCTATGATGTTTCTTGAATTTCTTCACGAATTGTTTTAAGAATCGAATCGTATTAGAAGTTTTTCTATTTTAGTGCAGATTTTATAAAACATGTTTCATATTCGAGACGAACCGAGAAGAGAATACCGTTTAAAGAAAAAGGTTTAAGAAAAGAGAAGATAAAAAACTCGAAAGCGTCTTTCACGTAGAACGTACGAAAACGAGATAACGAGTTACGTGTTTTTATTATATTATGAGATATATATTAGTACCGAAGTACGGGATAGTCTTTGCACCAAGTGCATGGATTCAGTTATCTTTTTTCTTTTTTCCTTTTTTTTAACGAATAAAATTTTAAAGATAACATATACGACTTCTATGGAGTCTTTACGTACGATGGGGGCCAATCGCACGCACAGAATGCGAGATTCGATCTCGACGTGAACGTCAAACGTTTCAGAGAACCGGTTCCTCTTTATATATATATATATACAAATATATACATATATAAATATATATATAAATATATATATAAAAATATATATTATATATTTTTTGTCGATATCGTTTGTAACGTTTCATTTTTACGCTGTTTGTAATTAGTTCGTTTTTAAATATTAAAGACTTGGAAGTGAAAACAGTACGCACCGAAAAACCGTACACGATTTAGTTCACAGCATTCGTGGTGGATCCGTGCGAATTAGAGATAGAGAGAAAGGGAGAGAGAGAAAGAGAGAGAGAGAGAGAACGAGAGAGAACGAGAGAGCGAGAGAAAGAAAGAGAAAAAGAAAGTGATGGAAAACAAAATCGAGCGTCTCACGTTCAGACACACAATTAAAACTTAAGATAAACGGGTCGTCATTAGTTATTGCGGAAACGAGATCTATTTTTTTAAAGCATCGTCTTAATCTTTCTCGACGAGATAAAGGATTGACTAATCGAACGATTCATTAGATTATCTCTCAACGTGTTTTTTTCTTCTTCTTTTATGTGTGCGACGCGTCTGGATCGTTTCTTCATTATTCTTATTATTATATTCTTTCGTGTTTTTCTTTCTTCTTGGTATTTATGAACGTACCTTTTCTACGCAGTAAGGCGAAGACATGAGCGTCGATGTCTCGCGTGCACGCAACAGTGACGATGACGACAAAAAGACGACGACGACGACGACGACCACGATTCGTGAACTTGCCAGTCGACCGATTTTTCGCTGAATCGACGTTATATTAGAACATTCAATTGTATACTTGCAGGTGACGATGCAGCGAGACATTGAATCCAACCCGTGAGGTCAGAGGGTATCGCGACATCCTCCCCATTGCTATGCAAAGTTGCATCTCCTAAGTTAGCTACTTTATCGAGACCAGTTCTGAAAATATTCCCAAATACCGGTGACGATTCCAGATTCGAAGACCTTATCTGGTCCGAATTCGCGAACGAAACATTGGATACATCATCTCGCCGTCTTGTCACCTATAATGTCACGTTACCTATTACCAGACTGCGGATTTTATGCATTTATAGAGCATACACGAAGTGCATAATAGTTTAACGCGCCCGTTATCTTATTCGAAACTCGATACCTTCTTCAACGCTAAAACTATCGAGCAGAGCTAAATCGACTATCTCCGATTTCGCGCCGACCATGCGAAAGCGTACTTACGGAGATGTCAGTTCACTTACAATTCAATTTGCATGTCGCACATCAAACTTTCCAACTAATTTCTCGAAGAAGCTACCGTTAAACACTGCATGTAACTGCGTAAACATCCGCGGTCTACTTATTACCTACTATCCGCGGGGGAACGTTGAAGGGATGACAAGCTCGGACAGTGGCGATGGGTGTGCGTGCCAGACAGAGCACGGGATTCAAAGAAACAACATCGGTGTATTCTATCGACGTCTCGACGTAGTTTAATCGTGTAGCCTAAGAGCGCGTTGGTCTTTCGCGGGGAAACATGTCTCGCGCGAAAAGTAAACGAGAGTTCTCAGTCTTTCGCGCGTCAGAGACGGCCGGGGAAACCGGAAGGAAGTGCAAGAAGGCGCACGATCGTCGGGCGGCTCGAGTAACGAACACGACAACACGACAAAAATTACAAATTTCCTCGCCCCCCCTCCCCCCTGGGCGCGCCGTTGCTTCGACGCGCGACTAGAAGCATCGGGAACGCAGCCGCTGATCGGAAACGGCGACATCCGAGGTACACGCGGAACGTACTGTCTTGCTTGTCGAACGATCTACCACAACCACTTGCCTCCTTGCCAGACTGCCACTAATTAAGAAACTAATTAAGAAAGCAAACGCGAACAGGGAGGACCAAAGGAGTCGCCGCCGCCTCCGTGAACGGGATCTTCTTTCGTTCGCCGCCGAAAGGGAAGCTTCTCCGGGAAAGTCGGGCACGCTTCTTCTTTGGTCCCCGCCTGTTCGTTTCACGTTACCATAATGTTTAACACACAGATTCTCTCCATCCCCGTCGGCGAAAGAACCAAACAGTCCTATCTTGAAAACGCGTTTCGTTCGCCAAAGTATTTTTTAAGTGTAGCATTTGCCAAAGTTTCTTTTAAGTACAAGGGTATCGATTATAGTTGATGCGGGTAGGCAATCCGAACGCGAGGCGGACAATTTTAATTCGTGAAATTCTCGGCGGTGTTGCTTCTCTTGGGTATCCGTTAACATTGTTGATTCTATCGTATTCATTTAACGCTGTCGTTACGTTTCTTCTTCTTCTTCTTCTTCTTCTTCTTCTTTTATTTTATTTTATTTTATTTTATTTCTTCCGTTTTGTTTTT